TGATTTTTTCTGGTAACCCTGAGATAGAAGTCTTATATGCTTCTTTGTTTTTAGTCTTATATTTGGTGGCTTTAATTGGCAATATTCTCATTATCACTGCGACTTCTGTCGACAATAGCCTCCACTCACCAATGTATTTCTTCCTTAAATACCTCTCCTTTTTGGATCTGTGCTACATTACAGCCACTGTACCAAGATTCGTCTGCAACTCTTTCATGCACAGTGGCACGATTTCTCTCTGGGAGTGCATCTTGCAGTGTTTTGCATTTACTTTCTCTGGTTGTGCTGAGATGGCCATGCTCACAGTGATGTCCTATGACCGCTATGTGGCCATCTGCTTTCCACTGCGCTATGAAGCCATCATGGACACCAGCACCTGCATTCATGGAGTCTTAGCTGCCTGGACCAGTGGGTTCATCTCTGGGGGCATGCATACAGCTGCTACTTTCTCCATCCACTTCTGTGGTCCCAAGGTCATTCACCAGTTCTTCTGCAATGTCCCCCAACTCCTGAAACTCTCTTGCTCCAATGACTACATCCAGGAGCTTGGGGTCTCTGCCTTCCTGGCCTTGGCAGCATTTCTTTGCTTCATCTTTATTGGCCTCTCCTACTCACGTATATTCTCTGCTGTGCTCAGGATGCCATCTGCTGAGGGAAGATCCAAGGCCTTTGCTACTTGCATCCCCCACCTATGTGTTGTCATCGTATTTGTTTCTACAAGTGTTTTTGAGTTTCTAAAGCCTGCTTCTGACTCTCCAACTGGATTCGACTTTTTGCTCACTTTTTTTTATACCGTAGTGCCCCCGACTTTCAATCCAATGATCTATAGCTTAAGAAACAAAGTGATGAAAGCTGCTCTGACAAAGATGATTAAAGGAAGAAAAACCTGACTGTTTTGTTGGGACCCTTCTCATTCCTGGTGAGGAGACAAGGTCAAAATATAATGGGAAAGGAGAACATAGCCAATCAAGAAATTGAAGCTAAATAAAAACTCATTTTATAAAACGTTGGTTAGCATACATAAAATCATTTCATAAGCATTTATATCAGAGAAAGCCAATGGTATAACAAAGTAAAGACAGAACATTTAAATAGTCTCAATGAAACTTTATTATACCTTCTGCATTTATTCCTATTATCCCCTGAAATATAACTTTTGTCAATGGTGTGAAGTAGAAGTCATTTTTTATGGTACTCAAATGAATGTCATTTAAACACTGTGGTTAATTAGGAAAAAACCTTTCACCAATGAGTTGAAGTCATGTCTAAAAACAGGGGAACATCAAAATATTCATGTAGATACCCCATTATCATTTTTTAGTTTACTTTCGAATATTTTATTTTGTTTTTAATAGTTTTATTGGCATATAAATCACACAATTTAATAGTTCCATCATACTAAAAGAGGTTGTACAGTCATCACCACAACCAATTTCAGAGCAGTTTCTTCTTTCTCTTACTCATTGTTGTTATCTCCCCCCAAACTTCCCCTGTCATGTCCCTAGTTAGTGTACCTATAGATTCACGTGTCTTGGACTTCATATACAGAACATTGCACAAAACAAAATCAAGAAACAATAACAACAAAATCCCCAACACGGAAAAAACAAACAGAAAAGCCTGTTTTTTCAAATTGAAACAAAAGTTGAAAATACTAAAAACAGCTTGAAAATACAAAAAGGTTTTAAAATAGGTCAAAATAGATATTAACTCATAAGGTGTGAAATTTTAACCTAACTACCTCATCTATAATTCACTTTACAATACTCTCTGTCTGAGAACAAGGCTATTCATGTCCCTGACTATGCTTGGAATGGAATTACTAAAGGCTTAATTCATGCGTGGTCCCTGATAATGGATTTGGGGGCTTCCATTGTCATCCATAGTCTTTTGAAAACAGGGTGTTCACAATTTAAGAACTGATACCATTTGCTCTTTTGTATATGTATTTTATTATTTACAATCCTTGGATCACACAGGCCGGTGGGGTTCTTCCATGTGGAACTAGTTGATGCTTTACATAGTTGGCTGCTTGTTCTAATACAATCTTTGAGAGCCCCGATGCTAAGCTTTCTGATAGCCAGGAACCGTCTGAAATTATACGTGTATAATCTGGCTTTTCAGATCTCAATACACGATTTGTTATCTTGCACAGATTAAAAAGTTAAATGACTGTGAGCATTATTTACACAACTAATGAAGGTTGGGCATAGGGCAGAGCTTTCACTAATGCTCATTCACAAAAGCACCAGACTAGTACTCCCTCAGACTTAAGGCTGAAACCCCTTAGCGTGAGAAGAAGCAGATGACGCAATCCCACAGTTACAGAATTTGTGGTCATTGGGCTTTAGTTCTGATTTCTTGTTTGAAAGGTGTTCAATGAATAGTAGCACAGGATGACAATCTACTTACTATTTTAATGCTCTCTTTGCTTTTTAGGACATGTTGTAGTCCATTATATTTTAGTGCAAATTTTCCATACAAGTTTGGAAGGCCCCTCATATGTATGGATGTCTCCAAGCCATTCAGTTAGAATCCTAAAACTATACCATTGTTGCAATGAGTAAGCTGGAAAACTGTAGCTACCAAATAACAGGAACTTTTGTCAAACAAACATGTGAAAAGGTGAAGCTATTGCTTTCCAACACCTCCTTTATCTAGGTTAGTATTCTGGCTAAAAGCAGCATTTGGATGCCTGTAACCTTTTATTCTGAAGAATGTAGTACCCTTTGTTTTATACCACACCAAAGCAGCACTTTGGACATTCTCAAGAGATTCCAATCATGTTCCTTGGCACTGTTGTCTGAGTTTAGAGAAGAACAATTTAAAAATGTCTAAAGAGGCAAGATCAGGGTTATAGGGTGAATGGGGTAAAGTTTCCCAATAAATTGCTCATAGAGGATAAATAGGTGCATGTCTTGGTGAGGGAAGAATATTCTCAGTGCACCTTTCCAGGTCTTTTCTCATCAATGAAATCTTCAATTTTCTTCACACTTTCCCTATCAAGTCTCCATGATCTCCTGCATCCTTTTATAAAATCCATTAAGATTAGTCCTTTGAAATCCCCAAAGGGGACATTCTGCACTTACCTCTCAGCCTTGAATTTAACTGGCACAATGGATCTCCCTTAGAAGCCACTATTTTGATTGGTCTTTGTTTGTAGAAAAGACCCTCATCCTTAATGGTTTCTAAAGCAAGTGATGTATTACAAAGAGAACTGGTTTTCAGTTATTCACCTATGGCAGAGACATTTGGTTTAGAATAAACACATGAATGCATGTTCTGAAACTTTAGTACCAATACTTTTTTATTTACCCTCAAATGTCTTTTTAATGGGTCCTGCTAGAATAGTGGGTTAAGTGTTTAGCTGCTAAGTGCAAGGGCAGTGGTTCAAACCCCCTAACAATTCTGCAGGAGAAGGATGAGGATGGGTACTCTCATAAAGATTTACCATCTGGTAAGCCTTAAGGAATAGTTTTTTCTGATTCTACTCTGCCCTATATGATTGCTATGAGTTGGAATCTATTCAATAGCAGTGGGTTTAGATATTTTTGGTTTCCATGCATTTTTTGTTTATAATAACAAAGTCTCTTTATTATTGTAGCTCTGAGATTATCTATCTATTCCAAGACATATTCTTCTAATTCTGTGTTCCACATTTTCTGATCTCTGTAATTTGCACATCCATACTGTATTAGTTGTTTCTGTTTATATTCCCACATAACATCTTCTGGGATTTTGATAGGAATGGCACTGAAATACAGATTAAGTCTAAGAGAATTGCTTTCTTTAAGGATTGTATTTTATAAGCTATGATAACACATTTCTTTTCATTGATTTAAGGCACAGAATAAATTCTCCCCTAGGACCTTTAGAGAGGTTGTCACCCCGATAACACACAGAGTTCAGATTTTTGGTCTCCAATATGGTAAAGACAAATCTATGCTGTTTTAAGATAAACATTTTGTGATAATTTGTTGTAGGAGCTACAGGGAATTAAATTCGCTGGTAAAATGGAATTAGATGACACTAGCCTATCTTTCCCATTGAATGCAACTATTTTACCTGGGTTGAATTCAAAGAACAAATGTTTGGGCTGCTGCCAGAAGTAAATGTGAAGGGTATTGCATAAGAAGACCAGAATTTCCACTTCCACCAAAATCAGGGGCAAGTTTACAATTTTTTCCACTTGTATCAGTTGTGCTGAAGCCAAGGCAATCTGAAATATAGGAAAATGTGTCTTCACAGAAACAAAGAGAGACAGAGATACAAAAGAAACTGAAGTTTGGTCTCAAGGAGTAGATATGATGTCTCCTAACTCATAAAATTATGGAAATCTTGTTTTAAAAATATTTTTGTTAAAGTGGCTGAAGGGAGACGTCAGACAGTGCAAGATATGACAAAATTATAATTTATGAATTATCAAGGGTTCTTGAAGGAGGGAGAAGGGGGGACGGAGGGGGCAAATGAGGAACTGATGCCAAGGGCTTAAGTGGAGAGCAAATGTTTTGAGAATAGTGAGGGCAAGGAATGTATAAATGTGCTATACACAATTTATGTATGTATGGATTGTGGTAAGAGTTGTATGAGCAGATTGACATGATCAATTTGCGTTCTCAAATGCAAGTGTAAGAATAAGATTATCTGCTGCTCCTTTGTCTGCCACATTCTTGTTGACGGCATCCTGTAACCTGGATATAAAATCTATATTAGGCTCATCATTCCTTTGCTTTACTGTCTTGTAACTTGGCCGCCTGCTTCCTGATGGTATTATTTTCTCCCAGGCCTTTAGACAGACTTCTCATACTTGTGTGAAAGTCTGCTCATCAAAGTTTAATTGTGACTCAATTGTGATGTAATTCTCATCTCCTAGCAGCTGAGGAACCCCTATATCTATGCCCTTTTCTGCATTTTTGCGGGCTTTAGCAAGGGCTGCTTCATTACACATATTGCAAAGATTCTGAAGGGCAAAGACACGTGCTAGTCAGTGTTTTCCAGTCACGAGATATCCAATATTTCATATCCACCAGAGTTTTTACCATACTAATTACAAATGGCGAATCTAGAACATAACTAGATACTGCTTGTTTGAGATCTTTCAGTAGCTTAAAGGGAAAGATAGTAGATCACCATTCTTGATTCCTTTTGTGGTGCTGCTCGTCAGGGTCCATGTATATAATTCTAACAGGATAAACCATTTTGAATTTTAAATCTGCTTCTTGAGCTATACTCTTCCCCACCCGTGTGCCTTCCTACTCCTTGCCCCTTTGCTTTTTACTTCTAGAACCTCACCTTCTATATTAAATCTCTCCATTTGTATTTCTTTAGATCTAATCTCATCTCTCCCTCCAGCACTGAGTTTCTTGATTGTATTGTGATTCTCTATGCTATATTCTGGTGGTGGCATGGATGCTTCTAGTCTGATATGTCCTTTTAATTCAGATTTTGTTTTCTCAGCTATGCCTAAAATCTTTCCATCTGCCTGGTACCCATTCTGCCTGCTTTTCACCTGATGTAAGTCTGTGTAGCTTAGATATTTCTCACTGCTCTGCTGGTCTTGTTTCTTTTCGCTATCATCATGCAGAGGCTCCAATACTGCTTTAATCTTTACCCACAGCGCCCCAGGTCTCCATGGTTATGCTCTGTCCCTCCCTGTGGGCGTTTCTTAATTTATTGGATACCATATCCCAAATCTCCATATCAAAGATTCCTGACTCTGGAAAAGAAGGATTACATTTCTTTGTCACTTGTAGAAACTCTTTAATTTTCATTTGTTACCACTACATTTTGTTTCTTCAAGAGGTGGCAAAGAGTGATACCATACTCTGTATCCTTGCACTTTGCCTGATCCGTATCTCACTCAGACTAAAAACACACTAAAAAAAAACAACAACACTCAATAAAAGTTCCTGATTCACCCTCT